TCCTAAAGTTCAATCGGAAACTCTCGTACCTATTTTAACTTTTACTCTAGAGAATTGTTGGAATTGGTTTCGTAAAGTAACTATTATTTTTAATGTCGGACACTTAGTTGAAATTGTTTATACAATTGTAAAATCTACATCAAACTAAGCTTATGGTCGCATTCATCCGAAAAGCTCGGAATGAATAAAAATTCACATTAGAGAATAGATCGTTTGTTTTAGCTGAAAACGAATTTTAGCCGAATCTGTGAACCATAGCTAGTTGTTGAATAAGAAAAACAAGTTTACGTATTTGTATTTTGATTTTATGACAGTCCCGTACCGCGGTCATGGATTGATTGTCATGGATTGAAACTTCATTACAATGTCTGTATGTATGTCATACGCATTCAATTCATGTTACGCGATAATATAATTTGGAGGTCCATGTATAAATATATTATAATATATTCAGAAGCTTATACTAACCAATAATGTTTGTATGTTTATTTATTTATTTTATGACACTCGCACTGCCAGAAGGTGCTTTTATGAATTGGTACGCTCTTTTCTTGAAGGACCCTAAGTCGAATTGGTTCGGAAATACTTCAGTGGGCAGCTGGTTCCACATAGTGGTGGTGCGCGGCAGAAATTGCCTTAAGAATCGCTCAGTTGTGGAACGACGGACGTCAAGTCATTTAAATGTAATATAAGAATTTGGAAAGTTTCTCAGATCATCTACTATCCGGTGCTGCTTCTCATCTCCTTCATATTCCGCATAATTAATTCATTTATTTACGAAAGCTTAAACAATAACAGAGCTTAAATTCTGCCCACAGAAAACAAAGCACATATAATTACTATTTACAGAATAATAAATTACTATTTACATTGATAATAAAAGGCATATATGTCCATCGACCGGGCAGTAATCGATTATGCAATCGTGCTAATTAGATCGAGTGGGTTATGTCAATCGTATGCATGATTGGCCACCTGCGATAAAAGATAATGCGAATGTATTAAGTGACATGCGAAAAATCGCTTATGTCATTGTTAAGTTGAGGTTTATGCTCTGTGAAAACTGTATTTAGAAAACTATTGAACATATTTTAACGGTTTTCACTTATATCACATATACTTTTATATAATTAAGTTATCCTCTTTTTATAATTAATAAATAACACGACGTTGCGGCTGCTTTTATAGAATTCGCAGTCGTAGACGTCAATTCAATTTATTAATTAGATTAATAACTATGTCTAAACAGTGCAACTTAGCTACATGGTTCAAGAAATCATTGGGCAATAAAAATTCTCTAGCTAATATATAATATATTGGTTCACAATAGAGAAATTTTATGGGGAAATTAACTATTACTACCCTGAGTATCTCTTTGATACTCTGGAGTCTGGAATCCATCAAGAAAAGATCGTACCAATTTTTCCAAACGTACCAAACTTTCCAAACAAACCAAACGCACTCGCGAGCCCTCTGGCAATGAGTGCCCATGGGCTGAGGTATCACTAAACATCAGGTGAGCCTCCTGTCCGTTTGCCCCGTGTTCTATAAAAAAAAAACAATTTGTGAAATACCAGCCGATTAAATGAAGTTGGAAAATACTAATAGCTATGCTAATTAAATAATATAGTGATATTCCGTCTTAGTCAGAATCTTTTCAATCGCTTCCTATTTAGAAACATCGTATTTTAATGGTTATATTAATCTTGATTATAACTCCTAAGTAAATCTCAAATAACAAGTCTTAAATAAATTGTCGCGTTTTAAGGGTAAAGTCAAGTTTTTGGGGCTTAGTTAAATCAAGTTAAATATAAGGGTCATAATTTACCTTAAACTCTAATCCATTGTTGACTCGTTCAGGAGACGAAACTTTTGCAATATTAACCTTTTTAGACATAGTTAGTTTTAATGTTTTACGCGAATAACTGAAGTAACAGATCTTAATACGTTTAAATAATCTGTTATGATAAAAGTGAAGGCATTATCTGTGGATTAAAATGTACCACATTATTAACTATCTAAATTATGCTTTAACAGCGGTTCCCTAGAGAGTGGCAAAGAGTTATTTGCAAGTTCTTGTGCGTTCTACTCTATGCAGTAAAAATAGAATAAAAGTAAAACACATTGGACATAGCCACAAAAAGTTTCACTGATAAAAAATATAATACAAAGCAAAACAAGACAAAACATCACAGCACAAAATTTATAAATTAGGAGAACGACAAACAAACAATTAGTATTTTTAATAAACAAGGAAGATACAAGGCTTAAGACATTAAGAGTTTTAACTTATTAACTTATTCTTGATTAACTTGATTCGAGAGCAGGCAGTATAAGAATTTCATGTACCCCTTTTGTCCCTTCTTTCAGAAGAACGCATTTTGGCCAAAACTTACCGATATCCAGATCGAGCATTCTGATTAACGAGCTAGGTCTGGTTATTCATAGTTGCTCCCCTCACACTTTTTATTTTATTTATTCATGTTTGTGTGTTTGCCTATAAGTGCTTGTCACATAAAATCTCGTAGTTTGTTTTTCTTGAGTGCCAATGTCTTGTACATTATCATATACCAAGCTATTGTAAATATATAATTCCTCAAATATCAACTTAAAATATAAGACATGCTTACGTATTACTGACGATTTACAATAAAAAAATGATATACCTTTAATATTATTTGTTTAGAATTATAAAATATATTTGTATGCAACTAAATAATTTAACGGTGATAATTTCTCTCCCCAATTCAGATAGATGGTTTGATAAGCTATCACGTAAAAGTGATTGATTGAATTAATTAACATTTCTTGATAAGGGATTATGAAATCTAATCAACCTCTAACCAAATAATCGATTTCGATTTATCCTTTCCTCTTTTTCGTTAATATCTTAAGGTTTATACAGCTTATTTTTTAAGTTATCGTAAACGGAAGGCTAATGACTGATAGTACTGAAGCAAAATTTGGCTATATGAAAAAAACCGGTTGCTATGTTAGAAAAAGCTTTATTATACATAATACATAACCTCTTATTACGAGTGAACCTAAAGAGAACTGCATTGTAAATTTATGGCATCTGGGCCTCAGATTTCTAAATCTGTTTGTGGTTTTTAATTTTATTTTATTTATTCGGAACTTAATTGAAGGTCACGCGGCGTTTTTTCTAATAGGCAATTAGGTGATAAGCCTTCGGTGACTGACACACGCCGTCGATTTTCTGGGTGTAAGGCACGCCGGTTTATTTACCGTACGAGCAAGGGTAAAATGCAAATAGATATATTGGTGCACGTCTGGGTATCGAAACTACGACATCACGGATGAGAGATGCGCGCAGTAGCTACTAGACCAACACTACTATAGCCGTCAACAAATTGAGATCTCAAACAATCAGTTCAGTCTTCCAATTCGTAGTTTTGATGACCTCCCCATGGTAACATGCAATCAATTTAGAAAGCAAAACTGGATCTCAACTGGATCGCTTTAATTAAACTCATATTGCCTGAAACTTCCACGATATATCAAAATCAATTGTCAAAGAATTATCAATAATAATGTATATATTGAGGCTGTTGTAAAAGCCTCAAATATCGTATTTATGAAACGTAATTAATGTGTTCATCAAAATCTCTTTTTAATTATTAACACTTGTTAGTATATAGGTTAGAATATGATAAATGCAATCTCATTACTTTGCAGAACAAGCAATTAAATTATTAAGAAATCTTGAACGCACTATTCAAATATAATCGAAACACTCGATATATGAATGAATATACATATACTTATCATTTATCTAGGACCACAGATATACCAGTAATACCTCTGTTTATGTAATTATCATATAAGATATGTCTGCATCTTCAAATCTATGTGATTTATTTTTATAATTATTAATTACCGTACCGTGTAGATTTACATTTTAAAATTAGGAATTCAATTTTATTTCTCATTACGTACCTACTTGCTATATATTTACAAGCAATATAAACGAAGCATAACTCGAGTGTACTAGAGTATACTCAAGCCTGGCTCATTCATTTGACTCACAGACCTTTGCTAATTGTCCAACACTAAGAGCATACATCAATGAACATTGAAATGTTTATGGGAGTTGCATCTGTCCTTTTAATTTACTAATTAATTTCATTGATATGAAAAATTACAAGGCATTAAATATTTATTTATTTATACACTATCCTTACAGACTAAAACAATGTGAAAGTGTCGAAAGGGAAATGAAAATAAAATATAGTAACTATCACATATTCTTCTTAATTAAAATACCTACCAAAGAAAATTTTAATATGCACTAATTATAATTAATAATAAAAGATAAAACGGTGGTTAAAGTGGTTGCCTGGAAGAGATCGCTCGAAAGCGATAAGGCCGCTAGTTGCTCTCCTTTTTATTTAATTTATGTCAATTGTACTATATTAATGTATATGCAACGAAGTGTTAATAAAAAAATAAATAAAAATAAAACTTATAATGTAATATCAAAGTGTCGCACCTCGATTCGTTTGGTTGCTAACTTGTCTAAATTATATCAAAATTATAAGTAACTTATACTAAAGTGTCCCACAGGCCACACGGTCTTCATTACGCCATGAAATTCGTACTTAGTATAACTAGGGATACACATAACATACTAACATATATATGCACCCTAATCACGTTACAAAAACATAATAAATTTAACTATAAGGAACTTATTAGTTCTAACTTTTCTGTTATATATATTTATACATTTCCCACTAACACGCAAAAACTCATCATTACCAGTAAAAGCTCCGAGAAATTGCAGACACAATCGGCGATTTTTCGAATTATTTTTATAATAGTCAAACTGAAACAATTTATCCCGAACACCGCTAGCTTTTAATTGAGAACGTACCAATTAGTTCTATACAAAGACTGGCAATTTATTATAAAATTAACGTAATTTTAACGTAATCTCAAATTATAAAGAAATTATTTGAAATGAAATGGCTATTTCCAGAATGGTGCGAATCAGCTGCCTTTTTGCCGTCTTCTTCCTCGGCGTCCTGCTCCTGGCGATACCAGCCTCCGCCTACCCCAGGATGTGAGTATAAATAATAAGAAAAATACTGTACTACACTTAACAAAAAAGTAGAATAGTTTCCGTTTCAGCATATACATAACCTTCTTATTTATAAAAACTATATCTGTCTAAATGCATTCTTTTGACTATGGTTCTTTTGTCTCTTTCATCCAAATTGTGTTTTCGCTGTGATGAAAAGTACCAGAGTACTAAATTAATCGGTGCGATATGATGATGCGACTGGTATTTTATATGCAAAATGGGGTCATATGTTAGATTTTTTTGTGAATTTCATTTGTTTTGTTGTGAAATAATATTGATATATTATGTTTACAAAATCAAATCGCAAAACTTTTAGGATAATAATAAACTATTTAGCACAGTTCATCATTTTCCGTTGGCATAAAAACTTAACAAAAGAATTGATCGTTACAGGCCCGGCAACTATTACTTGGACGATACTTACGAACCCGAAGAAATCATGGACATGCTGAACCGCCTTGATAACTACTTACAACAGGAACGCAAAATCGCTAAGTATGTTTCAACATCCTATACAAATACTCAAAATATCTCACGACAATATTTCTTTTTCAAAAAACCCGTCAGATTTTTGAACTTTTTTGAACGTGTCTTCATAGGCGATGTAGGTAGTACTTAAATTGGTAATAAGAAATTCTCTTTTCATAGTCGTATTTTTCATTGCTGAAAGTCGCGTAAGGTGCTGCTCTGGTGATGATATCTCTCCACTTTGTTCGGTCTATAGCTTCTCTAAGTGTAGCTGTTAACTATAACACTCAAAGTAAATTGTTATAAATTGCGATAAAAAGCAATTATAATATACATACAACAATTTTGTCCGTAAGGTAAAATTTTAAACAAAACTTTTTAAGGCATATAAACTCCAATTTAATACATTACATGACTCGACGGTTCGAGTGCTTTGGGGCCGTTCAAGTATCACGTAAGCAGATTTACTGCAATTTATCCCCCCCACCTCCTCTTGTCAGCAAAAGTAAGCAAAGCTCTCAAAAATAATAGTACATAAAAGTATCAATTTTTTGTAGGAATCCTCTATAGTCCATTTTGTTTTAAGTATAGACAATGTGTGGATAATATACGTAAAAAAGTAAATAATTACTATTGACATAATCACCAAATAAGAAAATCAAAGACCCCCCTGCCCCCTCTAGTGCTTACGTAATACTTGAACGGCCTCTTTTCGGCATTCGTAGTCTAGTGCCATCTGTTGTCAATGGTACAAAAACTAGTTATTCTGTCCGCATTACTGTGATTATTTTTCCGACCCAAATATCGACCAATAGAATTGCACCATTCGACGTCACGTGGTACAACCTACATGGTACTATACTGATAATTTTTTGAAAATTTTCTCTGGTAGTTGCTTCAAGAAAAGTATTAAGTAGTTGTTTTATTCATTATGAAATTCTTATTTGTTAACTGTACATTTCGTCTCATGGTGCAATTCTATTGGCCGACATTTGGGTCGGAAAAATAATCCCCCGAATACCACACGAGCTTCAAAATTATCGGGTATTTCCCGATAGGTTCGTTGCAAACAAATGAAGGAGTCAAGTTTTTCAGGTTAAAAAATCACGAGCGCGACGACTTGTGGTATTATAAGTGAATATTTTATAAATAAGTGACAGTAACTGTGATGCATTATGTACATCATCTTACGTCGTATAACTAAGTTTGACCGAGACATTAAAGTGTAAATTGGTCAACTCCTGAGAATTGACAACACAAAAGCGTTCATTAATTTAAATTGCTATATTATACGTCTCTTAATATTACATTCAACATAAGATAAATAATTATAATCACTGGAGTCATAAGTTTTCGCTAAGTGCTATTAAAGCTGTTTAATAATATTACAAATAAAATTTCAAACATTAGTATTTAACAACAATTGGAGAGTTTATTATTGTTCGTTAATATTAAAAGTGCTGAGCAGTGTTGGCCTAGTGGCTTCAGCGTGCGACTCTCATACCTGAGGTCGTAGGTTCGATCCCCGGCTGTGCACCAATGGAACTTTCTTTCTATGTGCGCATTTAACATTTGCTCGAACGGTGAAGGAAAACATCGTGAGGAAACCGACATGTCTTAGACCCAAAAAGTCGACGGCGTATGTCAGGCACTGGAGGCTGATCACCTACTTGCCGTATTTGATTTAAAAATGATCATAAAACAGATTCAGATATCTGAGGCTAAGACCTAAAGAGGTTGAAGCGCAACTGATATATTACTATGAAGAGTCCCCTTTTATCTATGTCTCTGTCATCTGCTGAGATCGTCCACTATTAGCCACCTGTTTATCATCACAATTTTATTCTCCCACGTTCCTATATGCTGATCCCTTCGTATAATATTAAATTAATAATATTTCAGCGAGAAACGAGCTCTCGACCTTGGCTTGAACCGTGGCTACTCCGGCGCAGTCCACGCTAAGCACATGATGGGTCTGGCAGCCGCTAACTTCGCAGGAGGTCCCGGCAGAAAGCGACGCGATGCTCACTAAAAACTGATATTCCACCCTGAAGCTATTTATTTTTAATTGTAATACTATAAAATCCTCGCATAACTAAAGCCATGATTTGTTTAATTGTTTAATATGTATTTATTATCTTTGTGTTAATATGTATTTTACAATGATTTTAAATTTCTTGAGTCAAGGGAAACCTTTATCAAGAAAACATTGAGTTTTTCGTATATTATCGGCCTAGTACAAATTAAATTCAAGTAGTGATAATCTTAATCTTCTCTCTCTCTCTCTTTCATGTCTTTCAGTAGAAATATAAAACATTTGGAAAATATGCTTTTCAAATTGTAAAAATTACGCTTTTATGTACCTTGCTAACTTAAGCATTCTAATATATATAAGAAATTCTATTGTTGGGAAATAAAGATATTCGTATATTAAATGATTTTTATTTCTGAATATTCCTGATAGACGAGTCCTTGAGAAACATTCACTGAACACGATTTATTAACAAAAGTGGTTTATTGATATTCGGTATGGTAAAACAATATTTTATTTGTTATGATGTCAAATTATTTATATAACAAAAATAATTTTGACTTTTGAATTGGTACTAAACATAGTTATTTTATTGGTCACCTAGTGTAACATTTTGAAAATTTTAGATTTCATCCTGTTCATGTTTTTTTTCTTCATTTAAATAAAAAAAATATATTTATGTATTAAGATTCCAGACTATTCACTGAGAGAATTCCTTTTAGCTGTTACCGATAAACTTTTTGTTAAGATAACGTTTTGTTAACAAAACATATCATATTCAGATATTCCGAAAATTGTAACAATATTTCCAGATGATAATGTTAGGTATATCTGGATTCGCGCTGAAACATAATTAATATTTTTAAGTTGTCGGTACCCCACAAACATTTCACAAAGTACAAACACTATTGATTGTCTGGTTATGATATATATAAACTCTTAATTGGAAGTTATATAAACAAAACACGTAATAAATGTTTTTATCTATTTAGAAATAATTAAACAATGTAGGTACTCTCATAATATGTTTGATGTAGTTATTTCCCTTAATAATTACTCGTAATGCAATTTGTATCAAGTAAAATAGTAAATATTTTGTTCACAAAATGCAAATTTAGACAATTAAAACTTGTTATAAATAAAATAGGTTAATTGTCATTAGTGTTTGTTTATTATTTTATTTGTTAGTTACCAGTTAGCCTGGCTAAAATGATTTTATTTGCATCAATCCATCTAATTATTAAGTACTTAAAGATATAATATTATGTAAAGATTTTTTACTAACGTAAAAAGTTTTTTAAATTTTATTAAATATAAATTAGTCAGTTAGAAGCTGTAAATCATCTTAAAAGATAAAGTAAAATAAAATATTCATAGACATCAACTGACTTGTTAATTCCCCTACAAACTCCCTCCACACCAATACGTAGGTAAATTGAAATTGCTTGAGTGAAAAAGGGAGTTCTGTTTGAAAACGGATTATCGGAATGCCAATGCAGTTCTCACAACAGACGAGAAGAACTGTCAAAAAACTCTCCGTCATACTTTTAAATACGCGAGTAAGTGATAATAACTCGTAGGCACATTGTACTGTGGGAACCACACGCAAATCAAGGTAGAAATAATAAGATTTTAGCCGTACATATTCGAAATCAAATCCGTTATGCATGTTGTCATCGGCCCCTTCGTTATATAATACGCGAATAATAATATTGTAGGGAGAGGGGCAACCCCACGCATACAGACGCTAACGATAAATTGTAGATTTTCATGATACGGATATTGAGATAATTACATCGAAATTGTGAAAATGTGTGGAGAAAGGATGGTGACAATTCCTTTTTTTTTCGCTGTTGGCTTTAAGAGCATTTACACCTCAGCCGTGCGATTCTGTAACTCACTTTTCGCGACCGCCGCTGTGAAAACCGCTGTGTGAGTTCGAAAAGTGAGTTACAGAATCGAAAGGCAGCTCGGCCTGTTTTAGCGACCGGAATGGGCGTTTTCCCGCGACTAGTGCAAGGACTTCTCTTGCAAGACTCGGACTTTGGCATAGGCCGTCGCGAGGTGGTCAGTCACCAGAAAGGCAGGAGGGAAGCTCACTGGAGTGAGTGAAGTACCAAGTAAAGGTCCACGCCTTCCCTGGAGAAGGCGGTTTTTTACCCTAATCTGATTTTGATCTGCAGCAAGCAGGCGGCTTTTAATTTGTCGTTAGCTATCGTGATTGGATCTGTTAGGACATGGGGGGCCTCCTACGGGCCTTTTTTGTCGGGAAAGGTGACAATTCCTCCAACTTAAAGTGAACCAGCCTAACTAGCGGCAAAACTTCTTTAGCGCGTTTCAGGGAATGACGTCATCGCAGTGATTGTAGCCATAGAATGTAGGTGTTGCTACAAACGTCAAGAACCGTATTGAAAGTTACAGAGTAACAGCGCTGAAAGGTTTCCTTTAAAAAGCAGGCGGCGGACGGCTTTGTCAATAATGTAATGTTTATAAAACTAGACCATCATCAATGGCTTATTAATATAATTATGGACTATTTTAATGACAATTTATAAAGCCAATAAACGTCTGATAGTTTGCAATAAAATATATTATATAATTTTATTTAAAATCAAATTGTACAAAGTGACATCTATTGACGATTCTAAACACTGCCGTAACTATATCACTCGTCACTATAAAAGTTGATTGCAAATTCCAGTAGATGTCAGTAATTCTAGATTAGTTTCACTCGTGGCATGTGTGTGTATATTCTATGTAGTTTTGATAAATAAGTTAAGATGGCGCTAATTCTCTATATTCGGTTGCGTAAAATATTTTATGAAACTACTTTAACTTGTAACGTTAATATAAAAAATATAACATAATTAAACTATTGTTAATTTGGAATTTAAAATTTATTAACAATTTAATTATAAATGTTTAATAAAATATTACAAAGTAGTATTTTCCAATTATTGGTATCTCCCGTATGGTCTAGTGGCTAGGATACCTGGCTTTCACCCAGGAGGCTCGGGTTCGATTCCCGGTACGGGAATATTATTTTTGGTTTTTTATATCATAATTGCAATTCAATATTTTGTTTCCTATAAAAGATATTTGCTCATCATATCATATATAGATTTATTGATGAAGTTTTGTTGTTATGTATAGTTTCCGACTAGTTTTTGTTCAACAAAATATGAAATAATAGGCTTCATTGTATACATACCTCTCTAGGCACAATAACTTCTGCATGTCTTTGTTCTGGTATCCATTATAGCTAGGGTGTGCAACCATCAAAATATGTATATTATGATAAAAGTGTGTACCTACGGATATTTTTGAACACACATAATGAACTACGATTAGTTAAATAATTTTTAAATATCTTGCTTTTCCGTGTAAATAAAATAATTTGTTTCTTAATATAGGAATAGAGTGTTGTATCAAAAATAAATATTATTTTTCTCTGGACTAAATAAAATTCTAATGACAGTACAACCTATGACCTTGGTTTCCTTACCTATACATTACGAATAAGTGGTACAAATAAAAATAAAATAAAAACAAATGTAAGTGGCGCTACAACCTTTTTAGGTCTGGGCCTCAGATTTATGTATTTGTATCATGATAATTTGTCAATCTAATAGGTAAGTAGGTGATCTGCCTACTGTGCCTGACAAACGCCGTTTCCTCACGTTTTCCTTCGCCGTTCGAGCGAATGTTTAATGCGCACATTACACATACCTATAAAAAGCAGGAGAAAGTCCATTGTTGCACATACGGGGATCGAATACCTCAGGTATATAGTCACACGCTGAAGCTAAAGGCCAACACTGCTCTGTGTTGTGACAAATATAATCGCAAAAATATGTAATTTAAGCTCTTTGACAACCCTAGACACTGAGTTTATGTCGAACGACATAACGAGTGAAAAATCGTGCAGTTGTTTCTAGTTCTGAAGCTTTAAATCCGTGATTTAACGATTTCAAAGTGAAAATGTTTTATATCCATTGCTGGCTTTGCCGTTTTATCGTAACGTTCTTTAGCCTTTATATTGACTTCCTCGATTTGTAGACTTTCCAACATACAAAGAATTGAAACGCTTTTAATCAAATAAAATTTTCTGATAAGTTTAAACCAATCTAGTAGAAAAGATTGGTGTTGTGTAATTAAATAAAACCTCACCTCAAAGATGAAATTTGTTGAGACTGGACGTCGAGGCAGAATACGAAATTCCACGCCTAGCACCTCGACGTCCGTCGTTCCACACCTGAGTGTTATTTAAGACAGTTTTTGCCGCGCACCACCACTACGTGGAACCAGCTCACTGAAGTATTTCCGAACCAATTCGACTTAGGGTCCTTCAAGAAAAGAGCCTACCAATTCTTAAAAGGCCGGCAACGCACTCGCGAGCCCTCTGGCATTGAGAGTGTCCATGGGCTGTATCACTTAACATCAGGTGAGCCTCCTGCCCGTTTGCCCCCTGTTCTATAAAAAAAACCTACAGTAGTCAGTAACCTAGATCAAAGAGACATAATTCTAAAGCCTTCCTACGTAACTTCCTGTTAATACAGCAATGCGGTCTCGGTCTTTGCCAAAAATAAAATCACAAGGCATCGTTGTGTTTTCTAGACGTCATGTCAATTGCACATCGTTCGCTGCTGTGAGGAAAAATGTGATTTAAGAAATATTTAGTCTAAGGTATAATAGCCGATCTCGTGACTAAAAAATACATAACCTTTTGAATTTCGAACTCGTCATGTTCCGATATTTTAGAATAAATTATGCATTTTTGAGTGACGCTTTAGGTACGATAGTATTTTTTCAATTTCTAAGTGAAGATGATGTTACATACAACTTAGAAAGACCGCCTTAAAGGTTGTATGTTTAATTGTTTGTTTTGTTTTGTGCTTAATAGAGCAGCGTTGACCTAGGCTACAGCGTACAACCCTTATTCCCGTAGTAGGTCCGAAACCGATAAGGAGGGAGCTTGTAGTTTATTGTTAAAACCGCCG